AGACATCCAGAGGCCCCAGAGTGTGAGAGCCCAAGGAGGACCACCGGAGGGGCATCCGTGCCACCCTCATGGGAAGGGCTGAGGATCCCCAGACGAGGCGTCACCCAGTAGCCACCGAGCAGAAGCTAGAGGGAGCTGCACCGGCGTGCCCGCCGGCTCTGCCGGCAGCCAGCTGTGCCTCAGTGGCTTCAAGCGTAGGCTTGAATTTTGTTCAAGCCTACACTTGAATTTTTGTTTTTTGTTCCCTGTTATACTGATCATAAAGCTTTTTCCCCCTTTTTTTAAAAATAAAAACCATCTTGCTGTTGCCCTGTTTTCTGATTTTATAGCTAAAGATGTTGTACAGTAACTAGTGCATCTTTGGTAATAGTTAATAGTTTTCATAAATTCTTTTTACCAGATAAAATCAAGGACTTGCTAAGCCAGGATGCAGTGGGTAGCCTGACGAAGCTGGTTCTCGTGAATGCCATTTACTTCAAGGGCAGCTGGAACACGCAGTTTAAGGAGGAGAAGACTGCTGATGCGCAGTTTCGACTGAACAAGGTAACAGTGCAGAAAGGCAGCATAGGATGGTGCAGTTATACTTTGATCTGTCATACTACAAACGAGCTGTGGATTTTGCTGAATGAGAACATGAAGCCTGGAGCTCTGAGGGGATAAAATCGTGCTTTTAGGACGATCACTTTCCAACTTTATGCAGTTATGCAATGCAGTTTATTATTCATGTAATATCCAATAAGTTCTCAAATAAATCTCAAACAACAGCACATCACAAACTTCGACTAACAAGAACAAGTTGTGTTGTGACGTGTGCTCTACATCCAAATCCACTCAATGGCTGGAATAAAACCATGACAGAACTTTTTGAGATCATTTTGAGACTAAACACAAAAAACATTTCTCTTGTCTCCCCTATTTTTCAGAACGACACTAAGCCGGTGAAGATGATGCAGCAGAAAAGTAAATTTCCTTTTGCGACCATTCCTGAGGCCAACTGCAAGGTAACATCCATCACTTTCAGCTTATTACAGGATTTCACCAGCATGATCTAAAACTTGTCTTTTACAAATATCAGCCTAAATTTCTAGATTAGGAAGTCAGATCATCTTTGATGGAGTAATAAATAAAAACAATGTTTCTGGACAGATTCTTGAGATGCCGTATAAAGGAAATGACCTCAGCATGCTCATATTCCTGCCTAATGACATAGAAGATGATACCACAGGCTTGGAAAAGGTAAGATGCACTTACCAGTACTTTAATGTCCAGTTTCAATCAGACAAGCTAGTGACACTGTATCCACACAGCTGGAGAAGGAGCTGACCTATCAGAACTTTGTGGACTGGACTCACCCAGACATGATGAGCCCCAACGAGGTTGATGTCAAGCTCCCTCGATTTAAGATGGAGGAGAAGTATGACTTGGAGAAAATCCTGACCAACATGGGAATGGAGAACGCTTTTGACATCTACAAGAGAGACTTCTCTGGTGAGAAATATTGCACCAATGAGACACACTGAATCAATTATACAGTTATATTGAGAGCACAAAAACTGCAAAACATCATCTGGTAAAGAAAAAAACACAACTGATTTCTGGGCTCTTCATCTACTAGGAATGTCTCCAGCAAATGACCTGATAGTGTCCAAAGTTGTCCACAAGGCTTTGGTGGATGTAAATGAAGAAGGAGCTGAGGCTGCTGCTGCCACTGGGGTTGACATGGAAGTCCGCTCTATAACGATTCCCGCTGAGTTTGTTGCCGACCATCCCTTCATCTTCTTCATCCGACATAAACCCACCAAGAGCATTCTCTTTGTGGGCCGGTACTGCTCACCCGAGTAAACACGAGCTGACATTGACATGAATTAAACATAAAACATTATATACAGTATAAGATTTTGTAAGGTAAACCTAGTTCATACAAATGAAGTAAAGAAAAGTTATTAAAACAAAACGTGCCTTGCTGTTTATTCTTTCAGTGTCCCACAGTAGCACATTTCCTGCTAGGAAAATGTCAGAAGTCACATCATTTCTGTAAATTGGGAAGTAACTGTAATACATCAAGTCACCTCTGTCTCTTGTTACCAGGACTTTTTAAAATGAATGGTGCAACATGGAAAGAGGCCCTACACAAAAGTTTAGCTTTGAGCTCAATATGCGATGATCCTTTCAGCCATGACATCTCTGACATGGGAAACCAGGGAATTTGATTAGAAAATGGTGAAGGATTTTCTTTTCAGTTAGAAACTGGATTTGTGTAACATGTTGGTGAAAAGCCCCCAAAGAAACCAGCATATGATCAGTCGCTATATTGCATTTAATACAAACGTCCTTCGTGTATCCTTTGAATACAGAACAGATCATTTCTGATATCTATGAGTAAACCCAACCAGCACGTGTCCCAAAAGACCCCACAGTGTTTTTATCTGGCTTTTCCCTGACAGATGTGTGCTGAATATGAAAGGACACAAAAGAACTAAAGAAGGTTTGCAGTGTTAAAAACAAGAACTACATGAAGGTTGTTTCATCCTGCTGTAACTTATGACAGAATCATCTTTTGTTTTTTTTTTTATTTATTTACACAAAGACAGATGTTGAAATAACAGGAGTAACAGTTTAATTCAATTGAAATCAGTCCAATAGTCTATAATGAAATTATTGTTTTTCATTAGTTGGCAAAAGATGGGGGTTGTTGATGGCAATTCAGTGAATGCAACAGGGGAGGACGCCAGTTTGGATGGAGGGGAATCAGCAGGACAGATGAGATTTTGTTTAGGAGTCGAGTAGTTGTGTGAATGAGGAGAGGAGAGCACATTAGACTGCTGAGAGACGGGGAGGTAGTCAAGCACTGACCACATGTCTTCTTGGATTTCAGCAAAACAGATGGGCTCATCTCGGTCTTGAAATAATTCAACTCGGGGTTGAACTGATGCAGTTTGAGAGGCATCTACAGGAGAGGCAGGGGTGGGTGAGGGCTGCTGAGACTGCGCAGTGATGGGGAGGGGGTCGAGCTCTTCCAGCACTGACAGCAGTTCTTCCTCACTGTCTGCGACAAAGGCTTCCTCTGTCTGGAACTGAAGGGCTGCAACAGGGGAGTCCAATGAGGTGTCCTCAGGGAAATTCATGTGAGAGGCAGGGGAGACCTGATTTTCTTGACAGAGAGGTGTGTAGGGTGATGCCTGTGTGTTTGGCAGTTGCAAACACACTGGCTGCTGGCGAGGCACGCTGCTGTCATCTGGCTTTGTCTGTGGCTGCTCATGTGGCTCTGTCAGAAATGAATGAGAAGAAGAAGATGGCTGTGACTCAGCTGGCCTCATACGCAAGTTGTTGGCTTGTTGAACAACTTCTTCATGTACAGATGCAGATTCTGCAACGCAAACAAAAATACATTAAGTCTTCTTTTTTTCAACACATTTTTGTTTCGTTTTCATCACATTTCTTATGTAAGATGCTGTGATACCAAGAAATCTTCTTTCACCTTTTCTAAGTCTGATTCTCTTCCTCTTCTTGCCCTGAAAACAAACACAGAGTTTTCATTAGCTGAAACTCTGTGCAGTGACTGTTTCATCATTCAGTGCAGTGATGCACACATGTGTGAACTGCATGTTGGCACTTTGGACATACATCGTTTTCTTTGGTCGACCAGGCTGGATGCTCTTTGGCATGATTCTGTCTTTCTGTTTCAGCCTGCTTGAAATATCTGGCTTTCTGGTCGTTTGAAAGCGACTTCCACTGTGGACAGAAGATCATAAGAACACACTGTGAGCACTGCTACTACACATAACTACAGGACAGCTGGGACACATGCAAAAACATGAGCAGACAACATTAACAGATGCATAAATGTATGCAGAGTTACACACTTACTCTCTGTCCCACCACTGCATTTACGGCTGCACTTCCAGGGATGTTGAGTTCAGCAATGACCTTTGGCCTCTGCTCTTTGAGATAGAGCATGAAGGCATTTGGCGGCTTCTTGACGTATGGCCCATCTTCATCCTGCTGGGCTGGGCACTTTCTTTTTCTTCAGGAATAAAACACAGAGTAAGAGCACATGTTAGCACTGTGTACAACTGTGAGGGAAGCAGTTCAAAAACAAAAGCACACAAAACACACAACAGGTGATGAGACAAGCTGCAATGCATCATCTATCCACTAGGTGGAAGAATTGATCAGTAGAAAGAGGAGATGTGCTCAAAACGACATTCATACATAGATTTATTCTTCTTAGTTAGTCTTAAGAATTAGGATTCACTGACAGTGAAGAAGTTTCAGACGTGCACTCGCGTTTCCCCTTTTGCCTTTTCCTGCTCCAGCCAAGTCCTCCGCCTGCTCGACATCTCTCCTATTACCTTTTATTACGCTTGCACTCATGCCTTTGCCTTTCACCACTTCAAAACTGCGCCTTCTTCAATATTACCTTCATATGCTCTCTTTGCTTTTCGCCTTCCTCACTACACTAAGTACCATTTTTTAACGCTGTGTACTCACTCTTGCTAAGTACATGTGAACAGATCTTGAAGAAAAAAAACAAAACAAAACATACTTTTCTTTTCTCTTCTGATACTATTGAATGATCCTAACAGAAAAAAACAGAGTTAACACTGACTTAATAAAAAAGTGTTATATTTTATCTCAGATAAACTAGTCAGTGTTTATTAGTGTTTGCTCAACTAGAAGTCTTCATAGTAGCATCCACACATCAAGTCTTTAAACAAATAATGAAAGGATAATGAAAGAAAGTTTAATGTGAAATTACTGAATTATATGAAATGCCAGAGTGTTTTTCTTTAAACTACTTGGGACACTGCCTTTTAGTGATGTCACTAAAGGCAAGGTTCTAATGTTGTGTTGCCATAGACTCCGGAGTTTACTTTTAAAGCTCACTTACAGAACTGACTTATACAGCTTAGTTAGAAAAGTCAAGCATCCAGACATTTGAAGGACTATTCACTCATTAAGGTGACATTTTCTATTTTAAAAGTTCTCAAAAAATTAAGATGAAAAAGGAAACAAGAAAAGTTACGACTGAGGCAGATAAGAAAGATCCAGGAGATCAAAGTAAGTAAAAAAAAAAAAATCCCCCAAATAACAGAATGTACATTTCTAACAATGTTGAGGCTCTGTGTATAAAATGATTCATTTTTAGAGGATTTAAATCCTGGTTTTGATTGAAACTAACCTGAGTGCAACATGTCTAATCAAAGAAAGGTTACTGGGGCACTTTGTCTTTTGGTAAAATAATGTGACAAGTTTATTCTTGGACTGAGCAGTGAAAACAGAGCAACAAGTGTCATCAGTATCTAGACTTAGTAGACCTAATATGGACTCGTGTTGGTGTGTTTTTTTTATCAAAAGGATAAACTTGTTGTTATATTGTAAGCAATACTAATTTAAAATTCAATGACATCAAAATCCTTCTAGTCCTGATGTCGAGCGCTCTTTTTCACTAATGTGTTGTTGTTGTTTATAGATTGTAAGAGCAGGATGGCTAAAAGAAAGGCCAGTCCTGAAAAAACGACCCCCATAAAAAGAAGGAGGGTCACTGAGCAGGCTGGTCCTTCCACCAGCTCAGATGCTCATGTGGTCGGGGAGTTAAGCGAAAGGTCCAACAAGATGAAGCGGGGACAACCAATACAGCAAAGAAGCGTAAACTTCTTGAGCATGTGAGCGGTGACAAGGGGCAGGCATCTTCCTGGTTGGACACTGGTAAAGGTAGGCTAATTAGTTGAGTGAGGGGTAGATTAAGTGTACATCTGGTTGCTAGTTTGAAGATATTAGTGTTTGGGAGATATTTGTGTCTATTATCTAATAAGCTGACGTGCTTTTGGTGTTTTCCACATCTGCAGACTGCAGCATAGAGATTTCAGAGAGCTGCAGTAAAAACAAAAAGGCTGGCAAAAGGAAAGCTGCGGGAGACACCAGGGACCCACCTAAGAAAAAGAACGTGGACCAGGACAAAACCAAAACCGTTGCCAAAAAGTCAGTGGCTGAACAGAAACGTAAGTAGCAAGCAGCTTAGCTTTTATATTCAGGTGAAGAGCAAAATGAACATTTAGGGTACAGCAGAGAGTAATTTGTGTGACAGCTGTAGTAAAACCCAATTTGTGTTTGTCTGTTTAGGTGACTTCCAAGCGAGATACGTGGAGGAGCACCGGCTTGGAGAAGGAGGATGTGGAGCAGTGTTTTCTGGCTACCGCATAAAGGATCATTTACCAGTAAGTGTTCAGATGGTGGTAGTAAGACAGGCAGTAATGCAGATAAGGGATAATATCGTAAGCTGAGATGTATGCTGTTTTACACCTTTAATGATGTCATACTGAGGAAATGCTCATCAATGCCCTGTGTCTTTTAGGTGGCCATCAAACACATCCCAAAGGGGAAAGTGTACTGCAAAGTGAAGGTAAATGTGCAAGACTTGAATTGTTTTTACATTAGTGGATTGCATGCAGCGTTCACCTGTGGAACGTCTGTGCCTCATCATCCACTTTGTTGAAATATTTCAGGATGATAACGGGAAGAATGTGTCAGTGGAAGTTGCCATCATGCTGAAGCTTGCAGCTGAAGCAGATGGATCAGTGGAAACATCAGCCCCAGTGTCTCTGTTGGAGTGGTTTGACTTTGGCAGAGAGCTGATCCTGGTGATGGAGAGACCTGTCCCCGCTGTGGACCTGGATAAATACATAGAAGAAAATGGAGGATTTTTGCCAGAGGACAAGGCCAAGGCAAGTTGACTTGCCTTAGAAGAGTCTTAGACTGTACATCATTCAATCAAAGCACAGAGTATTAGAGAAACATTAACCCATTGATTGATTATTGTCTTTTTCATCGTTTCCAGGTAGGGCTGGGCTATATCATACCATTCACGGTAATACCGGTGTAATTTTGGGCAACGATAGGAAAATGAAATATCGCGCTAGAATAGGTAAAACGCGCATGCGCAGTGCCTATGTTTACATACGCAGATGGCGGTGACGCAGAAAGAGAAGAGCAAAAGTGGATCGTTGAATGAAACGGATGAACCAGAACTGGTTTGTAAAAATGCTGCAACTTTAGTGGTGTGGAACTGGTTTAGCTTTCGTCCGTCAGATACACAACAAAGCACGATTTTTGGTAGCGCATGCTAGCGGGCCGCCGTTATTACCGTGTTGTTTGGAAAATACGGCACACTTAAAATCAATCCTTTGATTTTTCTGAAACTCGACAGTGCCCTTATAATCCCGTGTGCCTTATGTATGAATTCTGGTTGTGTTTACTGACCTCAAAACGATTTTATGTACACGGCGACTTTGCTAAGCTACAAAGCCGCACCGCTCGATGGATTGTCGGAGCATTACGGCTATCGTAGGCAGGCGCCTCGCGGAGTGATACGTACTGCACCTCAACGTGATATTACCGTATTGTGTGTGAATAACCTCTTTTTAAGCTTTGTGGATATTTACATGGTTATGCTGAGGATATGTCGGCCAATTTCCACTGGAAATGCCTTTTGGTTAAACTGTCAGCAAGGAATTTGCATTTGCACTGTTACATTTTTATATAACTTTAATGCACATAAAAAAACAGCTGCTTGTTTAAGTGAAAATACATTTATGGGGTTTTTTGCACTAATAAAGTTGTGGAGTTGTAAAGTATTTTGTCTAGTGTCAGTTATATCGTTATCGCAACTTTTCAAATGTATATCGTGATAAATATTTTTGGTCATATCGCCCTGCTCTGATTCCAGGTCATTCTGAAGCAGCTGGTTGATGCTGCGAAGCACCTGGAGGATAAACACATCTTTCACCGGGACATCAAGAGTGAGAACATTCTAATTGAGACCGGCTCAGATGTACCGCGTGTTCGTATCATCGACTTTGGACTGAGCTGCTTTGTTAAGGAGCAGTCGCAGTACCGCGTCTTCTATGGTAACATATTCTGCTCTTGCTCTTCACAGATGTCACAATTTTCGCCTTTTGTTTTAGAAGAAATTGCAATTGTGTCTGTTTATTAGGTACAGAAATTTACTCCCCTCCCGAGTGGTACGGGCGCAGTTGCTACAGGTGTGGACCCACCACGGTATGGCAAATGGGAGTGGTTCTGTACGAAGCGCTTCATGCCGGGGACTTTAACACCACGAGCTTCCTCAAAAAGCGCCTGAAATTCAAAAGACATCTGTCCAAAAGTAAGAAAACGTCACACTTCAAGACTGACTGATGGCTTGGACCACTGGAACTATCATCTTCATGTTTTTTCTCTTTCCTTTCTTTCCAGACTGCCGGGATTTCTTGGACGCCTGTTTAACCAAAGTCCCGGAGACGCGGCCGACGCTGGAGGAGCTACAGCATCACACTTGGCTGAGATAAGCCTATCACACACACACACACACAAACACACACAATTCAGACGTTATCATTTATGTGTGATGTATGAATTACCTTTCTTTTTTTCAGGAAATAATTTTTTTTAATTGGCCCACTTTAAATTTCAGTGTTTTGGAATTCCTGTAACCCCCCCAGCCATCCCAGGAAGGGGATCTCTCTTTGAATGGGCTTTCCCGAGGTTTCTTCCCGTCAGTCTGGCCCCCCCAGGGGAGTTTTTCCTCGTCTTCATAGAGAGCTTGGGCTGGCTCAGGAGCTCCATCAAAACTGTCTTTATTTAATTACTCTAATGTAATCATATACTTTAAAGTAATCAAATAAAAGACAGTAAAAATCTGAAGACTTGAAGTAAACTTCCATTAAAATAAAACTTGTTTAATTCATCTTTGCTGAGGATACTGTGTTATTACTATTTCAAGGATTATGTCAGAACACCGGATACTGGTACCCATCCCTACCCATCACTAGGGAACAGAACAAACCAGACATCAATTACAACAAAAATGACACTGACCCAGCCAGCATAACTTGTCTGCCTTAAGAAATGTTTAGCAATATTACAAATTGGGTGATATGCCTTAAAGTAGCTTCTCATGTGTTCAGCATTGTCAAAGGCTACATTTTAATTAAAACCACAATCTAGTAATGTTCTGTCTTTAACCTTCCTAATTTGTTTTTTGTCCTAACCTAACACTAAATTGCCAGTGAAAACAAAAGTTACATAAATAAAGAAGAGTAAAGAAAATTACGGTCTTTTTATTGTAACAGTTTACCAGTGTACAGTTGGGTTTGTGACATATCTATCTAATAGACTCCAATTTGTGCATGTAAATGGAGAGTCCTCTTCACACACTGAGGTTAATTATGGAGTTCCACAGGGTTCAGTGCTAGGACCAATTCTGTTTACATTATACATGTTTCCCCTAGGCAGCATCATTAGAAGACATAGCATAAATTTTCACTGCTATGCAGATGACACCCAGCTCTATCTGTCCATGAAGCCAGATAACACACACCAATGAGTTACACTGCAGGAATGTCTTAAAGACTTAAAGACCTGGATGGCCGCTAACTTTCTGCTTCTTAATTCAGATCAAACTGAGGTTATTGTACTCGGCCCTGAAAAGTTTAGAAATATGGTATCTAACCAGATTCTTACTCTGGATGGCATTACCTTGGCCTCCAGTAACGCTGTGAGGAACCTTGGAGTCATTTTTGACCAGGACATGTCCTTCAACGCACATATTAAACAAATATGTAAGACTGCGTTCTTCCATTTGCGCAACATCTCTAAAATTAGAAATATCCTGTCTCAGAGTGACGCTGAAAAACTAGTTCATGCATTTATTGTGTGAATGTGTGTGTGAATGGGTGGATGACTGGATATGTAAAGCGCTTTGGGGTCCTTAGGGACTAGTAAAGCGCTATATAAATACAGGGCATTTACCATTTATTACTTCCAGGCTGGACGACTGTAATTCATTATTATCAGGATGTCCAAAAAACTCACTGAAAAGCCTTCAGCTAATCCAAAATGCTGCAGCAAGAGTCCTGACAGGGACTAGAAAGAGAGAGCAGATTTCTCCTGTTAAATCCAGAATTGAATTCAAAATCCTGCTCCTCACATACAAGGTCTTAAATAATCAGGCCCCATCTTATCTTAATGACCTTGTAGTACCATATCACCCTATTAGAGCACTTCGCTCTCGCTCTGCAGGCCTACTTGTTGTTCCTAGAGTATTTAAAAGTAGAATGGGAGGGAGAGCCTTCAGTTTTCAGGCCCCTCTTCTGTGGAACCAGCTTCCAGTTTGGATTCAGGAGACAGACACTATCTCTACTTTTAAGATTAGGCTTAAAACTTTCCTTTTTGCTAAAGCATATAGTTAGGGCTGGACCAGGTGACCCTGAATCCTCCCTTAGTTATGCTGCAATAGACGTAGGCTGCCGGGGATTCCCATGATGCATTGAGTTTTTCCTTTCCAGTCTCCTTTCTCACTCAGTATGAGTTAATAGACCTCTCTGCATTGAATCATATCTGTTATTAACCTCTGTCTCTCTTCCACAGCATGTCTTTTATCCTGTCTTCATTCTCTCACCCAACCGGTCGCAGAAGATGGCCCCGCCCCTCCCTGAGCCTGGTTCTGCTGGAGGTTTCTTCCTGTTAAAGGGAGTTTTTCCTTCCCACTGTCGCCAAAGTGCTTGCTCATAGGGGGTCATATGATTTTTGGGTTTTTCTCTGTATCTATGAAGCGCCTTGAGGCGACTTTTGTTGTGATTTGGCGCTATATAAATAACATTGAATTGAATTACCTGAGGAAGAAGCAGAGTTGGTTTGTTTCCAGCTGAAATCATCCAGGCTCAGGAATTTGAATCGATCCACATCATTTCTGCTTGAACTAGAGAACATGAGTGTCGACTTACATTTGGTCTGTGAGACACATGTCATAGTGACAGTATTTGGGTTAATATGGCATTACTCACCCTGGTCGCATTTCTTCAATATCAGGCACCAAGTTCAGGAACTCGTTCTTTTGCAGCCCGCGCAAGGTAGGAGGTCTCCAGAGTGGGAACCATCGGGAAGTTTTCACAGTCTGAGCAGGAGGGACTGGAGGCACGTGAGCTGTTCTCAGGGGTCCTTTAACACAAATCACACCAAGTTAGAATCAAATGGATAACCTGTCAATAACCGTTTGCAGATCGAGGTCAATGTTCCTAAAAATATGTTTACTTCTGGCCCATGGAGCCACAGCGGGAGTCCGAGAGAGGGCAGGTAGAGGAAGGGGTGAGGGTGGCACTGCTGAAGCTCGTCACGGATGGATCACGTCCGATCGGTGAGATGAGAGAAAGCTGAAGTGAAACAACAGCAGGATGAGGTAGACGTCAATATAGGAACTCCCTGATGTGACACAGAAAGGCTATTTTTTAATTTCTTTGTATTATTTCTCACCTTGCAGTCACTGATGCTGTTCACCAGCTGGTTGTATTCAGTATTGAAGGTGTGTGTCAGAAGGCGCAGGCACTACAACACAACAGGAACAAGACCGATCAGCTCCGAGCAGAGAAGGAAGAAGGCAGCAACAAGAACGCCCACTAAGCCCACGTTTTCTCACCTTGGTGGCCAGCTCCTTCTCACGCTTTCAAAGGTGGTGCTGGAGATCTGCGAGGAGGCGGAGGTGGACGTGGACAGAGTGCCGGAGCTCACGCTGGGGGACAGAGACTCACTCAGGGACTTGGTGGTGGGAGCTGTTCCCACGGGAGCCGCCTCTCCCAGAAGGTGACGGGTCTTTTCCACCTGGAAGAAAGATGGGGGCTAATGTGAGGTAGGGAGAAGAGGGGACGTTAGTCATGTAAAGGCCATAGGTGAGGGTAGGGACGTAGATCGACCGGTAAATTGAGAGCTTCGCTTTTACACTCAGCTCCTCTTCACCACGACGGACCGGTGCAGCGTCCGCATTACTGCAGCTGCAGCCCCAATCCGTCTGTCGATCTCCAGCTCCCTTCTCCCATCACTCGCGAACAAGACCCCGAGATACTTGAACTCCTCCACTTGGGGCAGGAACTCATCCCCGACTCATCCTATATTTCCGTTTTTATATTTCTAATGTTGCCTTGTTTTCTTCACTGTCTAGTCTGCCTCTGTCTTGCCTGTATGGATGCATTTACACCGAAATGTCCCAACAAAGGATGTTTTAATTCACCACTATTCCAGTGAAACACGAGTCTCCCATCTTCCTGCTACCAGTCTGGAGTTTTTGTTCACCAAAGCACACACCAACTTCATACTGACGGACAGATCACTGCCCTTTTGCCGCCTTGTCTGACCGTGTTTTGTGGCTGTGGTTCACTTCACCTCACTCTTCCCATTCTTGTCATTAAATCAGGCTGTTCTGCAACCATGGCAGCCATTCACTCTATGGCTCTATTCATGGTGTATTTTACCCCTTCACCAAAGGCCGTTCTCGTTTCCAACATTATATTTGCAGTGTTCGTCTATCTATCAATATCTGCGGAGTATTTTTTTAACGAGTATCCTATTTTCTAAAGCACAGCATGTAAAGGGTAGCTCGGTTAGCAGGATGCTAGCATGTAGCGCTTAGTGAGACACGCCTCAGACGAGTTGAGCAAAGACCCCGTCTGTGTACTTTATACGTGAGCAACGGATTTAAATAAAATTAAGGTTTCAAAGACAAACTTGAAGATAAAAAATATATATATACTCACCGGAGAGCCGCCAGGGTTTGCCGCTGCCATCTTGGCGCTCCTAAATTCAAAACTGCCTCTGCAGTCAGGCAGGGGAGGCGTGGAAATTGTCTTTGAGTTAGTCAAACGTTTTCCTTAGTTCGAGTAGATGATAAAAAAATAATAATAATAAATGGGATTTTAAGTAGGACTAGGCGTTCTGTAATGATCTCTATTAGGAGAAAAACTTAATCACTCACCTTTAAACAGCTCTCTTTAGGAGACACACTGCTGGCTAACGGTGTCATGTGATCAAACAGCGTAATTTAATTGGCTGAGAGCCACTCGACCGATCTGGTGCTGATTGCTCTGGCTTGGGTCATTAAAGTTCATCACTTTTGCAGTTGAATTTTTGCAGGTGAATTTTTTTCAGGTGAATTTTTGCAGGTGAATTTTTGGCAGGTGAATTTTTGCAGGTGAATATTTTTGCAGGGAAATTTGGAGGATAAAAATTCAGTGTCATAAATTCAATGTCTAAAAATACTTGAATTCTGATGATACTATATTTCTTCCATAGCAGAGCGCCAGAGTCGGCGATTAGAAGAAGGTCATTGAAGACTCTTAGTAGGGCAGTTTCGGTGCTGTGACGCGGTCTAAATCCAGACTGGAATTTATCACTTATACCGTTTCTCTCTAAGTGGGTCTGTAGTTGCTGAGCACTATTTTCTCTAAACTTTTGACATGAAGGGGAGTTTAGAATCGGCCTGTAATTTGCTAGAGTGTTACGATCAAGGCTACTTTCTTGATACAGGTTGCACGACTGCATGTTTAAAGACAGTCGGAACATAGCCAGATGACAGTGATGAGTTCATTAAAAATAAGATACAGGACCGATTGTATTCAATGCATTCTTAATGATACGAAAGGAATAATGTCATGCAGAGAATTTGGAGCTTCTCAGGTTATTAATTATTTCCTTTAAAGTCGAGAATGACACAGGTTCAAACTGTTGAAAAACCGTTGAACATTCAGAAACTGGGGCTGATTTACTACTGGAGAATGTGGGGCCCTTAACACGAGATTTATCTATAAATAATTTAGAAATTTTCGCAGAGGGCCGGGGAGGCACCCATCGAAACGTCAGAGCAGGGATTAACCACTGAGTTAAAGATTTTGAACAGAACTCGAGGATGTGAATTAGTCGCAATAATGTTTGACCAAAAGAAGTTTTGCATTTGGCAGCCTTCTGAAATTTAGACCGGCTCATAGCAGGATGTCAGGGACACCTGAAGTTGATCTTTTTTCCATCTCCTCTCAGCTCGACGACATTCACGTCTAAGAGCGAGGGTGGATTCATTTAGCCAAAGTTGGCGAGAGGTTTTACGGCGTTTGGTCTTACTGGAGCCACAGGTCCAAATAGAAGAACATGTAGAAATAAAAGAGTTGACTACGCATCAACCGAGAGAGGTGCATTACTGATGTCATCATAACAGAAAGAGTTGCAAAGGCCGCAGAGAAAAGGGCAACAGCCTCAGAATTAATCAGACGCGATAGGCTCAGTGGACCCTCAGAGTTCAGTTCCATATTGCATAACTGAACAATATGAATACAAGCATGCTGATCCACACAGGTATGCACACAGGTGTACACACGGGTATTCACAGACGCGGACTACAGCTTTCTTGGCTGCTGCCTCAAAGCACATTGTGCGCTGTCTATCTTGCGTGCTGCACAATATCGTTTTTATTTAGTATCTACTGATATCTACTGCTAGCTAGTTTATTGTGATGTGCTGTTTTTTTTATATGTTGCTCTTTGTTGTTTGCTTTCTTTGTGTTTTTTTTCCATACAGGTGACCCAGGTGTTTTTTTTTTGTTGTTTTTTTTCTTTCTCCCCCCCTTCACCGTCTCTTCTCCCTTTGGTTTTCTTCTCTCCCTCTCTTTCTTTCATTCTTTTCCTGTCCTATCCCCAGTCATGTCTGTCCCGTTTGTAGCAACTGAAAATAAAATAAATTCATAATTAAATAAAGGTCAATCAAATGGACCAATATGGCAAGGCATGATGATCACTTGGTAAAATAAATCGCTTGGCATTTATTTAATTTATATAGTATTGTTGTCTAGATGTCTAGATGCAAAAAATGTCACTTGTGAGTTTTACAGAGAACACATAAACACTAAACATGCAGCAAAAGTCTCCTGCCCACTTGAAACCAAGAACAATACAGCACTTGAGTGCGGCTGTCTCCAGGCAACCTCAAGGTAACAGACTTCCCAAGTTGCTGTCTATCAATAATAATTTAAAGTCCATACAAAGAACATCTAAGACGTGATGGGAAATCTGTTACCTTTACACAGTCAGCCTAGATGTTTTCCTCTAAAACTCTAAAACATTATAATGCAGTTTAGTTGGAGTTCATGGACCTGGATTAACGTTACATTAATGATAATCCAGGTGCTAATCTAAGCTAAATAACACCTAGCACCTTTCTTACTCCTAAGGGTTTACATAAATTCTATACTTGACAAAAACTATTATTATGTACTTATTATATTTTAAAGTTAAGCAACAAGTTTGCTGCAGTGTGTATAATTGCATGCAACTGTGTGCTGTGTGTATTCCACCATGTAAAGCGGGGTTCCCAATCCAGTCCACGGGGGCCAGTGTCCTGCAGGTTTTAGATCTCACCCTGGGTCAACACACTGAATCACATGATTAGTTGATTACCAGGCCTCTGGAGACTTCAAGACATGTTAAGAAGGTAATTTATTCATTTAAATCAGCTGTGATGGATCAAGGACACATCTAAAACCTGCAGGGACACCGGCCCTCGTGGACTGGATTGGGGACCCCTGATGTAAAGGATGCTACAAAGGATGAAGCATTTTCTCCAACAACAGATCTGCTCAAACAGAAACTGAAACAGAACTCAGGAAAGGTCCCAGAACAACTTTATAGCTTTACAGACACATTTCAGTGGACAAACAACCAACACGGCTGATTTGTTGGAAGAGTTGGTTACTGGACATCTCCAAATGTTAGAAACACCTTTAATGCATTAATTGCTTTATATTTCATGTCCACATGAAGTGTGCTAAATTAATTAACTTTGCTTTCTGTAGGGCTGCTGATCTTCTACTGATGTGAGCTTACCAAACAACTGTTGCCTGATAGTCGTTAACGCCTCAATGGGCTCATCCAGTTTGTTTGCTGCCTCAGGAAGTCCCTAAGTACCTGGAGCAACACCTCTGCCCCCTCCTACTCTCATTTCCTGCTCCTTTCTGCTCCCTCCAAACCGCTTCACAGCTTCAACCAAGATGACACTTCGTTTCTCCTTAACAGCTCCTGTCAAAATTGCACCAAAAGTAAACCAGGATCCCTCCCTGGCTTGGCTGGAATCTTCATCCACTCATTTATGCATCGTTTGTGTCATTGGCTTGGTGGGAAACACTCTGGTCATCCATGTTGTTGTCAACTACACAAAACACGAGTCAGTCAAAACATCTACATCCCCAATCTAGCCATTGCAGATGAGTTTTTCATGCTGGGCCTACCCTTCTTGGCGGTACAGAACACTTTGCTCTCGTGGCCTTTCGGCTCTCTGATGTGCCGAGTGGTTATGACAGTGGATGCCATCAACCAGTTTACCAGCATCTTTTGTCTAACTGTGATGTCAGTGGACCGATACCTGGCTGTGGTGAATCCCATCCGCTCTTCTTGGTGCGGCGCCCCCACGTGGCTAAGGCTATCAGTGGCACCGTTTGGGTGGGGTCCTTTGTGGTGGTGCTGCTGGTAGTGGTGTTTGCGGATGTGCTGAAGGATGATGGGAACTGCAGCATCGTATGGCCTGAACCAACAGAAGTGTGGAAGACATCGTTTATTGTCTACACGTGCACTGTTGGATTCTTCTGCCCCCTGCTGGTCATCTGCTTGTGCTACCTGCTGATCGTCATCAAGGTATGACTTTTAGAGTAACACTGAAATAATTTGAGCTTTTAAGATAAAGGAGGAAGTTGGAGACATTTTGAGAAAGTGTAGTCTATTCAATGCTCTTTTCTAAAAATATTACATAGTCTAACTCAGATGGGCAATAGTGAAGTAGGAGCCTTTTATTGTTGATTAAAACACCGCAGCATTAGTGTCATGGCCAACTTAAATCAAACTAGAATCCACAAGTAAACCAATTTCAGCTGCAAACTGTTTTAAGAGTATTGTGGCTTCAGTCAACTAATGTTGATCTACTTGATTGACATTTTATGATTGAGATTTAACTGTTCATCCACTGTCTAAAAAAGCCATTTCCTTTAAGGCCACTCTTACACCCTCAGGAAAGGGCTAGGGATGAGGGATTAACAATGATAAGCTCAGGGGAGAGATAACGAGTCAACTATACTGTTATATCACTCCAACAAAGGATGTCAACAGACTAGAATCTGCTGAAAAGACAAGAAATGGTTAATCAAAGAAAAACTTCACTCTCACATAGGGCACTGGCTGCTCACTACTAGCTCAAACACAGCGCTAAACTCATCGTCAATACGTCAAAGCACATCACTACACAAGCCTCTGCAGGCTGGGAAACAAACACCTAAGGTCACCACAGTACTGACACTGGCGTACACCGAGAAGCTCTCCACAAGCTTGTATCCAGCTATACACTGGCTCCTCAGGAGAAATGGCGGCAGCTGAACCTGTGGGAGCCTGCTAGGGTTATAACAGCCATCCTCACTTTAAGCCAGCTTTCTTCTGTTCATTATAAACAGGTTGAAAAGCAGTGGTGAACCAGCAACAGGGTCATGTGCAGTGCATGAGGCTGCATAGCTGCAGACCAGTCAGGTCC